CTGCAGAGGCAATGACAGCAGCCATCCTGCACCCAGGGCCTCTCTGGTTCTGGGCAAATCTGGGACACAAGCACCTGCTTGCCCTGCTGTGGGGTTTCCTGCTTGAATCACTCAGTCCCCAGCTTCATCTTGTTGTGAGAAATTTGCCTGATGTCATGGCTAGGTCACTCATCCTGCCTGCCAGCTTGGATTAGATGCTGTGATTTGTGTCAGGTCAGATTTTGGAAGGTTTATTTCACACTACTGGTGTGCAGTGCTGGTGGGCATGAAGTTGTTGTCAGGGGGAGAAGGAACAGGACAGAGAGATTTCCTGGGAAATATACAGGTTCCTCTCCTCTCTCCTCTCCCTCTATATGTGCTATAAGGGTGTGGTGGTAAAAATACTAGTGTTTCAGATTAGAGAGATGTGGCTCAGAAATTGATCCTAATTGAAAGAACATCCCTTTCAACCCAAAGCTAACAGTCTCTGACTGTTTCAAGCTCCTCACTTCGAAGCTAGGATAATACTGGGTGGGCCACTCCTACAGGCCCCACCAAGAGCCATCTCTCCATGTTGTCACTATTTGCTTCCTTCTCACAATTGTGGCACTTGGCAAGTTCCCCAGGAATGGATACCTGGCTTTACTGATATTGAAATTCTTGTTTTCCTCACCTCTTTTCTTTTTTTCTGAGGCAGCTTATGGGCTGGATCTCTGTGTTCACTTTGCAGAGAACAGGGGAGCAGAGAGGAAGATGCTGTCTGAATGTCCCTCACTATAACCATAGTTAATAAAGCCTCTCTCTGGGCTGTCAGTCAAAACATTTGGATTATTAGGCACTTGGAGGCCCCATATTCTCTGAGCTCTCTACCCTGATGCCACCAGCTCTGTCACTGCATTGCACCATCAGGACAGCCACAGGGGACATGAGGGACCTCACTCCTGGAGCAGTGGGATGGTATCTCCTGCCACCCATGGTGGTATCTCAGTTGCTCAAGAGCAGCCACCTTGTTTGGTTTGGCTCTTCTGGTTCCTCAGCCAGCAGATGGGACAGGAAGGGTCCCAACCACTGCCTGAGTCCCCCAAACATCCTTGTTAAGTACACTCAGCCAGTGAACCCAGCAGCACTGCCTCACCTCTGCCAACCCAGCTCCCCATAAAACAGCCAGCTCCAGGTAGCATCCAACTGGAAAGAGCTCCATTTTGTGAACTTTAACTTTGCCACTGCACTACTGAGGTGGAAAAAAACTGAGCAACAACCACAGTTCTCAGTGCCCAGGGAGGATTCACATCGCAATAGGAGCATGGTGGGCACTTTTTTTTAACAAACAAGTCTTTAAAAGAAGTACTTGCCAAGTGTCAAAATATTTCTCAGTGACATTAAGGGCCTTTGGCAGCCGTAATTTAACTGTGAAGGAACCTGATGCTGGCAAAGGACCGCACAGCTGGAAATTTGTGCTGCAAAGCAGCGTTTTATGGCTGTTAAGCTGTTGGCCTCTCAACATTGTAAAGCTGTTAAACAAACACAGCCCTTGGCTCACAACACGTGTCAGGGAGGCACAGTGTTTTGGCAGGAGCAGACTGATGGCAACAGGGGCTCCAGAAGAGCTGTGAAGAGGTAGAAATAAGCAGAGGAGGAAAATTCAGGTGGAGGATGAGATGCCTGTGTGCCATCTCAGCCTCATGCTGGGAGAAGGTGGTCATGGAAAGAGTGTGTAGGTTCACATGGAGTTGCATCTTCCCTTGGTTTGGTATCAAATAAGATTGCCACGCACATATGGATCCCATACATCTTACCACTGTCATAGCTGCTGGTCAGTAGACGCTTAAATCACTCTCTTGCAGGAAGGTGATATCCTAGGGAAGCCTAAATGTAGAAGGTTTGGATGGTATTGGTACTTTGAATGGGGAAACAGGTGTCCCAGGAGGATGAGCCACATGCTGCATATAGTGACATGTTGAAGCAAGCTGTGTTGGTGCCAGCAGAGATGCCCCAAGAGCAGCCACAGCCTGGCAAACACAAACTGAGCCCTGGTCCCAATAACGGCACAGCAAATCCACAGGGAAGAAATAGAATACACTTGCTGGGACCAGCACTCAAAAATTCAGAGAAAATGTCCACAAAAACAAGGAGATTCCTATCTATTTCTCAACTGTTTACTTCCACTCTCTTCTAGCAATCATTGCTTATTCCTCTGGCTTAGAAGCTGATCTTAGGAGGCAGGAACAGCTGGTCCTGATGCAGGGAAGTGTGGTTGGAGATGCCTCCAGCTGTGCTGCCTGCAGCCACCTGTCCAGGACAGGCACTCCTTAGGCTGCTGCCATGAGCTCTTTTTCTGGGTCAGCAGCTGTATTAGAAGAACACCAGTGACTCCTTATCATCAGGAGGGCACCACACAGAGATGAACAGGGTGGTCTTCCCAAGCTTGTGGGACTCCTGCCCTGTCCAGTGCTCACACTCTCCAATGGTGCTCCACCTCTTGAAGCTTTCCAGGAAATGTTGTGCCTGCAAGACCCATTCTTTCGCAGCCAGCCTATGTTAAAACTTACATGAAGCAACCAGACTGTGCGTGTTACGCTGTTTTCTCTGCCGGATCTTGACTGTGTGGTACCTTTCATTGCTACCAGACAGGCCAAAGAGAACTGGAGGAGTTGTGGTTCTCACACTGGTGATAAAAGGAGAGGTCGTGGTAGCATTATTCATCTTGCTTGCAGCATTTCCTCCTGTGTTTTCCATGAAAACTCTAAATTCTGAAGTCTAGTTTCTGCCCTTTGTGAGTTTTGTAATGCAATGTCTCAGCCATGAAGGGAGGTTGCAAGACTGCACTCTAGATGGTTGGAAAGCAGCAAGCTAAGCAGCAAGAACTGGTGCTGGATGTCTGCATTCAGGTGCTGGTTCATGTGGTTGCACAACTCCCTCTTCTTGCAGTCCCTTCACTGATGCATGCCCATGTCTTAGTCCTGCCAGGTGGCTGCAAAGAAATGACTCAGTGTTAACAGGAAGAAGCTAATGGGACATGTACCACCTAGAACTAGGAAAAAAATGTTCATAGGTTTGTTTCCCAATGATTTGGGTGATCCATTTTGAGGAGATGGGCTAGTAAATTATTGCTGCTGCCTGATGAAATTGGTTTTTCCCTCCCTGATGGACACAGTTCCACTGTATCTATTTTGTCACTCAAAAGCAGCCATTTTGATGAGAAGTGGGTGAGATTAAGCCAAAATCTGCTGGCCTTGCACGTCCTCTTGCTAAGCAATTTGCTGCTTCACTGCCTTTGGAAGATTGCACTGAAGTTGCTTTCCTGGCACCAGGAGCCGTTTTGAGAATTAGTGCAAAACTAATTTGATTACAAATCTCGAAGACATCAACAAAAGCTATTTTTAAGCTTTTGAGAAGTATGGTCTGAATCAGACTGTTCAGGGAAAACACCACAGGAGTTTCTTACCATTATTTCAGCGATGAAATTCTCCAAAACTGTGGGATCCTGGTACAGTTGGCTGGCTGAGATCTAGCACGTGCCCATCACCAATATGTAAAGCTTGTGCTCAGCACCTGGGCATTATCATGAGGGACCCACCACACTGCTTGCCTCAGTGCCTCTCTTGGATTACTACAGGTGTTTGTTCTTCCTTCTTAGAAATATTGTGTGCTTCCTCATAACCCAACCTCTTATAATCATCAGAACTCCAAAGGTGGTTATATATAAAAATATAAGTAAGTTAAATCTTATACAAAAAGCCCCACTGTCAGAGCCAGGGCAGGATGGTGGGGATCACATCTCCTCCCTTGACATCCTCTGGTACAAACTGAAGTCTGTGTCAGGTAATGCAGGAGCACTGGTCACAATTCACATCATGCTTATCCACATGCTCCTCTCCTTTGCTGCCTTCAAAGACACCCTGAACAAGCTGTTTTAAGGACTGTGCTTAGATGTAATCCTTCCCTTCCCTAGGCCATGGGAGCTGAGGCGTCTGCAAGGGAGCATAGCTCTGCAAAGGGGGGCAACTCGAGGTGGTCCCTCAACCCTTTTCATCCCTCCCACAGGTGCCATGATCAGAGCACACCCCAAAGAAACACTCTGCTCATCTCATGGGATGGGGGGTTACACCTGCACAATTTTCCCTGTAATTTCAGTTTTAGCCTTTAACACATTATCCTTGTGGCTATTCCCCCTCCTGTGGGCTCCCAGATGTGTCTGGCGTAGGGAGGGCAGCAGGGCCGCAGTTCTCAGGGCCAGGGCTGATGGCTGACATTTGTTTTGCTGATGGCTGACATTGTTTTGCTTCAAGCTCCACAACCCCTTGAGTCCATTCTGCAGGTAGTTTGGCCAGGAGCTGCTGTCAGCAGTGTTTGGAAGAATCAATGATAACCTTTTCCTGTGCTAAGGAGTTACGTACATGCCAGAGAGCAGAGGATGCTTAAAAACAAATGAAGCTGGGATTCTCCATGGGTCTCCGTGGCATTATTCTTGATATTTAAAAACACAAACCAGTTCTCCTTTGGTTTTATTAGTCTTTCTGTTCTGGCATTTAAACAGAGATTGGCATGGTCAGTATCTGCAGACACATCCTATGATGCTCTCAGGGGTTTCTCTGAAGGTTAGGACACCCAGGGTGCCGCATGTGAAGTGCCTCAGTTCCTCCGAGCTGCTGGAAGGCATTTTGGCAACACCCAGTAATGCCACTGCACAGATGACGGAAAGAAGGGCATTTGGGTCCTGGGAGCATGTCTGGGCTGTAGGGTAGGAGCAAGGTTCCTCTGAGCCTCAAGACTGGCACCTTTTGGGGTCATCTTATGTTATGATGCTGTGTAGGTATTTAATTCTCCTGGATTTTAGTATCGAACTAAAGAACTGAGCTGAGTCTACGCACCTCAGGTATGCAGGTCTGCCTGAGCAGCTTTCCAGAACACCCCATGGTGGAGAAGTGTCGTGTCCCTCTCTGTCACCCTGTGCCTAACAGTGAATTTTCTTCTCACAGATGCAGCAGTGGGGTTCATGTTTGTTGTTGTCTTGGTTTCAGGCATGGAAGAAACGCTGGTTCGTCCTGCGCAGCGGTCGGATGAGTGGCGACCCTGATGTCCTGGAGTACTACAAAAATGACCACTCCAAGAAACCTTTGCGTGTCATCAACCTCAATTTCTGCGAGCAAGTGGACGCAGGCCTCACCTTCAACAAGAAGGAGCTGCAAGACAGCTACATCTTTGACATCAAGACAAGTGACAGGACCTTCTACCTGGTGGCTGAGACCGAGGACGACATGAACAAATGGGTCCGCAGCATCTGCCAGATCTGTGGCTTCAACCAGTCTGAGGAGAACACAGGTACCATGAGAGACAGGTCCATTGCTAAGAGCATCTTCTCTCCTGTCCTCCCAATGGGCCCCAGGCCTCTTTCAGATCAGACCTGTAGGAGGGGGGTGCAGCCTGGCACAAGGCTAGAGGGGCTGAAGTGGGAAATAGATGGACGTGTGGGAAACTTTCATGAGGCTTTCCTGCCTTTGACATCTAAAGAGCTGTCATGGCTATTGTGAGAGCCAGTCATTTTTGCCCTCCATAACTGTAGACCTTTCAGTCTCTTACAAGAAGTTGGTGGTGTTTGGTGACTTTTTTAGCTGCAGCCTTTGTCCCTATGCATCACCAAAATACCCTTGAGAGTGGTGGGAACCAGCAGTGAAAATCCCCTTTGCTCAGACGTTTCAATCCCTTGATGGAGTAGGGGGAGAAACTTTAATGGAACCATTTTCCTCTCCACTACAGTTTTCCCTGCTGGCAGGCTCTCATGTGGAGGACAGACATACTCTGTGCACCTGCATCCCCATCTCTTTACTGGAACCCTCAGGGAAAGCACTGGAAGGGGGGAAGGAAAACTCCAGGTGGTTTATGTGCAGTGAGGGGACCTGTTGTCTGAGTTGTGGTCCACCATCCAAACTTGATTGCACTTGGGCAAGCCTGTGCATTGAGCACTGGTGAGCTGCCTCTGTTTTCCCAGCACCACGAGGGCGCCCATAAAACCTAAGTGAAATGGGTTGGGGAAGTGAGTGTGGCGTGCAGCTCTGCAGTCACCTGCCCATCCCATTATACATGGTAGCATCTCTGGGTACCTTTGCTTGTCTCACCCAGGGGACTGCAGGCCTGTGCTCTGTCTGCATGAAACTCCCCATAACAACGTCCAGCTTGAATCTGTTTTGGTCCCTCATGGAGCAGCTGCCATCCGCAGGAGTTGAAACCCTGCCAAGAGCTTGTCAGGCAGGACAGCAAACAAAGCACCGCAGCAGCGCGGATGCGATCTTCACTGACTGACGCATGAAGCAGGATGTCACCTTGGCAATGGGTGCACAAGTGGCAGAAAGGATCCTTGATAACGTCGCCAGCCAGGTCTTTCAGGGAAAGGTCAGGCTAAATAAATTACATACCGTTCCAATGTCAGCAGTGCAGCCCTCAAGGTTCAGCAAAATTGTTCAGGCCCCTTTTTTAAGAGCTGTTTCATTGCAGGATTTTCCATTTTGCGTGTGTTCAGCTGGGGGAACTGTTTTTCTTCTCATTTAGTAAAATGAGCTTTCAGCCCAGCGGCAGCAGGATCGATACGGGACTTCAGTGAAATATAAATCTGGGCAGCAAAAGGAAAAACAATCTCCCGCTTGCAAGTGCATCTGTCCCAAAGGGCGCACAGGGATCATCAGGCTGCAGAGATCCAAGCACTATTCCCTGCAGGATCATGGAGTGACATCAGCAAAAGAGGAACAAAAATCCCTATTTGTAACAGAATCACAGCTTGTTAATGCTGTAGGGAAAGTACCCACTTGAAACAGTACCCAGCTGCCAAAGTTTGATTTTCTGAGTAAGCCAAGAAAAAGCCTGCAGTGGCGAATGCAGCAGATGTGTCCAGATGCTGCAGCAGAGAGGGAGCATGAATTATTCAGGGCTGGCACTTCACTTCGGTCCTTGCCGAAGCAGTGACCCCATGCTCACCTTTCCTTCACCATCCCTGCTTAGTAATGGCAAATAAATCATCAATTTCCCAAAGTGGGTAATGTTCATTTGAAGAGTCCATGGCCTGGGGCTGGGTGAAGAAGTTGAGGGGCCATTGGAGCTCTATAGGTGTCGGAAGTCTTGTCCATCATGGCATGTATAAGCTCATCATGGGGTGCATCCTTCATGGGGTGTCAGCTGGAGGGAGTAATGAAACAGCCGTAGCAATGTTTGTAATTCTGCTGTGCTCCCTCTTCATCACCTCCTTGGAGCCAAGGGTGGATGGATGGGAGAGGAACAAGACTTTGTGCGAGACTAAGAAAGTTCCTGGATAGAAACAGAGCTTGGGACACTTGGCATTTTGTTCTTGGACCTTCCTCCCCTCATCCTCAAGCTTCTCTGCCTTGTGGCCTCTGCCTTGGAGAATGAATGAGTTGGTAATTGGATGAACCAAAAAGGGGGAGGAAAAGGTAACCATCATGAGCAGGAATAGCTCCATGCTAATTGTAGCAATTAATTAACTAAATCTCCTTCTCCCAGCAGACAGGCAGCGTGGTGGAACAAGATCAGGAACTGCCAGGGAAGCCACTGTGCACATTTTTCTGGTTGTACTTGTTCCTGGGTGTGTGACTGCTTTATACTGGCCCAAAAGCCTTGCTGGGTCTGGCCCTGCAGCCAGGCTGTTCCCAGCTGGGCTGTAACTCACATCCCAGCTAGGGGAACACTCCATCACCAGCAAACACATTGACCGCAGTTGCCATCATATGCTGAGTTACTGCCTCCTCGAAGGGACACCCCACATCAGCTGAGCCCCAGTCACCAGTCACTAGTTTGCTTATAACCCAGTAGTGGTGGAGGACATTAGCTTTTGGGGCAGTTTGGGTAAAAGCCTGTTGCACCAGCTCCCCATGATGGTAGGGAAAAGGCAGGGTAAAAAAACCTTTTAGCATGATTTAGTAAGCAAATGGGTAACCTGGAGTTGCAGTGATGCAGACCCTCTGCACCAGTGTGGGACCGTGCTTAGGTGCTGCCCATGCTCCCAAAAGGCAAAACAATTAAAAGGCAAACAGATTTACACCCTTTGATGCTTCTTTCCATTTGCAGCTCAACGGGCGAGTGTAAATTTTCTGTCACTTGGCTTTCACATTAGTCCTTCATGTTCTGTCTAGACAGGGGGACTCTCAGGATTAAGGAGGCTGGACTTTAGGGCGGTTTAATGTCATGCTATGGCTCACTGCTGGTTTGCCGATCTCCAGCTGCATTATACATCTGGTTCAGCGGAAGGAAGCTTGTTTCAGCCTCAGGGGCCTGAATGTCAGTGAAGCAGAGGGTCCTGCCGGCTGTCCCAAGGAGCAGCTGCTCAGCAAAGCTGCCCTGGTGGCTTTGTTCCCTGCCCCGACCTGAAAATAATTGCAGAGCAGCACGATTACATCTGCCAGGAGAAGGGAAATTAAATTGATTCTAAAGTGTTTACCCAGACTGTGGCAAAGCTCTTTGTTTCTCTTAACACCTATTTACTTTGAGAGCTAATTACAATTTTTGAACAAGCAGAGCCTCACAGGATCCCAGCTCCTCTGCGTGTCTGAGGAAGCCAACCATGCTCAAGGAAAGTAGATTTGTTCCTGTGTCAGTGCTGCCTTTACACTGCAGTTTGCACTGCTGCCACCTTGAGTGTTCCAAGTACAGTGGGGGGAGACCAGCCAGGGACCCTGGGCCACAGGCTACATGAGAAAGGCCAGCACGTGGGTATTTCAAACCATCAGCATTTTCCCTGCCCTAGTGGGCAGGCAGCCAGGGCTCAGCTGTGAACTGGATTTTCTCATATGCTTTGTTTGTTGAAGTTAAAAAAATACCAAATCCCACTAAACATATCTCATGTACCATTAACCCTTTCTGAAGCTAATGCTTCAGCCAAAACCCCTCCTTGTCCCATCTCCAGTATGACAGAGGTGCAGCTACAGCAGCCTGTAGTTTAATTTCTCATGAACCAGTGTGTGTGCCCCTGCAGTGAGCATGTCTCTGCAGGGGCCCTGTGCAAGGTTTAGTTATTTTGAAGGAGTCAGTACCTTTATTAACTTTATGTCAATTTACTGTGCCACCCTGGGTGGCACGCTGGAGCTCCTCTTCTACCTTCTCCATGGAAAAGGGGCTCTTTCAGGGGCTTGGATTTGTGGGTGCTGACCAGACATGGGTGGGAGTTTAAAAGCTTATTCATGCACGTCATTAATGCCCCTGTGCTAGAGGTTTAACCCAGACATGAAACCAGAGAAGGAATATTTGTGTTTAAGTAAATGTCCTTGTTTTGATCTGAAAGCTCCCTCCACTTGGAGAGTGTGAGGAAGGCGTGGGAAAAGGATGGCACTGGATTCCTGCCCTGATGGGTTGTGTCTGGCAGCAGTAGCCTCTCCCACCCAGTCCAGGCATGTTATCTTTTTTTTTTTTTTTTTTTTTTTTGGTCCATCTGGGACTTAATTTCTTTTATTTATTTCTCTACTTTGCTCCAGGGCAGTTCTGGGTTCTGGCTAAGTCCCCACTCCATCTCCAAGGCGTGATGTTGGTATTTTACATCATGACAGGGAGCAATCCCAGCAATATCTCGCTGAACATAGGTCAGGGCTGAGCATTAAAGTTTAATGGAGATGCATCTCTCCTTCCTCCTTCAACTCAGACATGCTCATTCTAGCAGTTTAGTGGATCAGCCTCTGGATACCACTCACTTTCTGCTCACGCTGGTGAGATCTGCACCCCACATGCCTGGGTGTCTTTGGCTTGGTTCTGCCCCAGACCCTCCACCAGTTGCCCCATTCCAGCCCATGAGAGCAAATTTATTGCTCTCACTTGACTTGCTTTGGCTGGGGGTCCCACATGGGCCACAGGCTGGTTGCCCCCAGCCTGCTGCCTGCAAGTCTGTGTTTCGAGCCCATCTGGCTGCTCTTGCACGCTCCTCACTTCTCTCCCCAAAGCATGTTTGTCCTAGAAACAGGCCAGTGATACCTCCAGCCCCACTGATTCCTTGCAGCCAGGTTTGCCTGAGTGTTTGCCCAACAAAGGGAGCTTAAGATGGACCAGAGAAGAAAACAACAGAGACACCCCTGAAGACTTGCTGGGAGGACAGGAGCTGCCCAAAACTCAGTGAAGAGGCTGTGGGCTGCAAGACTAGAGTAAAACCACGTTTGAACATTGTATACCACCCACCTCTCCCAAACACTCCCAAGTCAGCAGTGTTCCTCATCCCTGCATGCAGGAGCAGGGCACCAGGGAGCACATGCAAGGTGACAGTTCCTGCATTCCTGCCACCACTGCCTCTCCCGTGGCCAGGAAGAACCAAAGCAGAGGGGAAATACACAAGACCA